ATAAATCTGAGAAGATTCTCCCTTCCATGGCAGAGGGAGTGTGGAAGGGTTTTAAAGACGGCATGGTGGCATTCACGGTGGTTAGTACCGAGGATTAGTGGCATAATTTCTGAATGAAATATGCAACATAAAAATATAGGGCCTCCTGTTCAAAAAGAAAGGAAAAATGCTGTAAGAGCACTAAAGTTGTTGGCCACTACCACATCAACAGCTCCTGTGACGAGGAACACCTAGATAGATTAAGTGGAGTATCACAAGGAAATGAAGCACGGCAAACCCGAGAACCGTGGACAGGAGCATGTGAAGTTAGTTTCATTAAAGAGCTCACTACATGAGCTGCGTCCTAAGACTGGGTCTGCGGACAGAAAAAAGACAGTGGAAAACCTGGGAAAATGTTAATAAATGTTTAGTTAATTACACGGCATCCACAGCAATATTAATTTCTTAGTTTTGATCAATGTACCTTGAGCGTGAAGATGTTAATGTCAGGAAAGGTCGTGTTGTCCTATGTCCTTCACCCGGGTTTCCCCAACACTAACACCTTCATGATCACGGCGGCAGAGGGAGAATTCACTGAGCAACACAACTGGGAGGGAGCAGAGAGGGCCCAGGCTGCGGACGTAGGTGGAACTGAGCAGTCCCAGCCCCATAACTGAGTCTGCCTCGGCATGTGCATCCCACACCCTGCTGCTCTGGTCGACTTCCCAGCAGGGCGTCACAGGTATCTCGGCCTGGCCCTCAGTGGTAGAGATGGCTGTGCCGCCCTCCTCCAGCCTTCGCTAACAGACCTGGTACAGCCCTTGGTAGCAAAGCAGACTATTCACAGCCCATCCTTCCTTAACATTTATCTGTAAAGGACAGCATGGCAACAGTAGCCCAACGACTTGTTCAAAATACCACTGGCTCGAGAGTGGCCATGTCTTATCAGGCTGTGCTTAAAATGAAGCTTAGTGGACTAGAAACAGCGCAGATTTCATTGGGAGCCCTGAGATAGGGTTTTTTCTTCTTTTTTAAATTTTTTTTGTCTTTTTTAAAGATGAGTTCTTACTCTGTCACCCACAGTGGACTCAAACTCCCGGGTTCAAGTGATCCTCCCACCTCGGCCTCCTGAATAGCTGGGACTACAGG